GTGAAATTACTTTCTCCAGACCTTCACATATGAAAGTTGATGTTCAGACTCATACTGAAAATAAACCATTTAAATGTGAACATTGTGACATATGCTTTAAAAGTCCCCTAACATTAGCACAACATTCTTATATCCATGCTTGGTTCAAACCATTTAAATGTGGATATTGTGATGAATCTTTTAATCAAACAAAGGATTTGAGAAAACATTTAAAGCTATGCAAATCTAAGAAAGATAAATAAAAGTTAAGATGTGAAATTTTTAACCCTCATGTCTGCAACCTTTTTTATAACACTAAGTCACAAGGGGAGGGGTCATTTGGACTTCCTCTGCGATTTTTCATTCTCTGATTTCATTATTGTTGATATCCTTGTGACCTTATTCAATTACCTCTTTAGAATTTTTTTTTTCAAAAGTAGGTCAAACTGAGGTCAGTGTGAAGGGGATGTAAATTTTTGACATTTTGTGATGAATTGTCAATGTTCCTTCACAATATTTTTTTGAAGATATTGAATTGAAGATATACAATTTAAAAGATAGGAGGTATCGCGAAATCCCAATGAAATCAATGTAAGGTGAAACTAAATGGTAAACAATTTCAGGTTCAACTTTTACACCGGTACCAGTCACCAGTGGCATGTTATTTGTAATCTATTTATGTTAATGTTTATACCTTGAAAAATAAAATATACCAGGTACCTGTACCTATTTAAAATGCTAAAATACTGTTTGTACTTATACATACTATATCCAATTAAATATATTGAGGAAATGGTTAGAATGATGCTGCTACTATGTACAGGATGTGCCAAAATGTAGTTTTCAGCATTCTATTCAATGCAAAAGTTTTACACCGATGTTAGTTTTCTAAGGATAGTTTATTTCATATTATTCACATACTAGTATACAAAACAGTATAACAGTGTTACATATATGAAATCCAAGCACGGTGTTAGTCATGCTTCAAATACAGATTGACATATTATATTATTAAGTGTGAAGAAAGAAAGACATAGATACGACGTTAGATACTGTGCATTTTACTGCATCTTTACATGCGTACTTACTTTTAGAACCGCGATATCTCAACATATTCTATATTTTTATCAAAAAACTATATCATTTCGATTAAAATTCAGTCTGTAAGAAGTATAAATTCATAAATATACCCCTTCCTACATACAATTAATTTCATTTAATTTGAACTTGAAATAAAGTCCAAAAATGATTTAGTATTCCCAGATTTGAAGCAGTATATATTGAGATAAACATCATTTTATCACCGCAACCCCAAGTGAAGCATTTACAAAATAAGACGTTACCGTACGCCGTTAGCGTATTATATGTTCACCTTTATTATTCATTGCTTTAAATAAATAAAACTTAATTTTCGAGTTAAAATAAATTACAGAAAATACATTTAAATTAACAATCCTTATAAATCTGTAAATCTCCTGCTCATCTTTATCGGCGTCATGCTAGCGCATGTCTTCCCAACCCCGCCCACCCCGAGCCGGTGCACTAGAAAAGCTCACCCGCTCAATGTTCTTTCCGGAATCTATGATGTCATGATCAGGCCAGTCATTGGTAGCCGTCTCGTTTTATAAGCAATTTGTTTTGGTGTCTTATGGTGGCGTTTCAGTATTAGTACTCTTCTCTCTACTCACAACCTATTCGAATATTTTGGCCTAACGATCGTTAGGGTGAAATAATTTTCACAATACTGATGAGAAAACATATCCAAATACATTTATCAAAAAATGATATTGATTCCTTTAGGCCTATGTCAAAAAGGTTTCCGGACAACTCGGACCCAGGACAAGTCGGACCCTGGACAACTCGGACCCAAGACATCTCGGACCCAAGACAACTCGGACCCAAGACAACTCGGACCACTTTTTAAAATAATGATTTTTATCATTGTTTAGGGTTTTTTAGTCTTTGTTTTATGCTTATTAAAGGGTGACGCATATCGTTTAGCAAATCGAACGCTCGTTTCTGGTGTTGCTCACCGTTTAGTATAAAAGGCCCGATCCCGGAATAATACTCAAGGGTTCACAGGTTCGAGTCGTTGTGTCAACACCTCTAACTGTTATATAGCATAAGTATATTATAGATCGTCACACATTTATAAAAGGGTGATTTTTATTTTGACAAATCAATTCCACATTTATGGGTGAAGTTTCAGGATCTTCTATTTGTGTATAATAAGGAAAAATTGGCATCTAAATTTCCCCATAACGTAATAGCACACAGCTTGGCATATGAAATATCCTACAAATGAAACAAAGCAAGACAAACCGGTTTCTAATACAAGAATTTATATTGGCTGTTGTACATGCATTATGTGAACGCAATCACTCTTTGGATAACGTTTTCAAAATCATTATAAACGGATTACTTTATCTCAAAGGCAATTTCAATAAACTGGATTTTACAGAACTCCCCTTATTTCTTAAAAATGGACTGATCCAGTTGATTCGCCTGGAGCCGCCATATTGTTTTTATGCGGGATGCTAATCGGAACCCTTTAAATATAGTTAATGAAAACACAGAATGAAATCCTGTGCTAATTAGAAGCTATTGAAGCTATAAACCCAAGACAACTCGGACCACTTTCTGAAATGTTAGTTTTTGTAAGGTACTTTTTTGTTTTCATGATATGGGATTATTTGTAAATGTTTAGCATGACATGGTTTAGATATTTTGTGAGTTTATATTTTGTGTTTACATGTAAAGATGAACAAGATGTTTCAATTAACTTATTTGATGAGAGTTGAGAATACAACTTGTTATATAGAGGTGTTAATGAGTCTTTTCATACAGTTAATACCAACTCATATGGAAAATCACTAAGGAATTAAAACAATAATAATTTTAATCCTAATCTCATTATCTCATTTACAGTCACCACCGTGAAGTCATATTATTAATATCACTGAAAGACCTATGTCACATAGAGATCAATGAAAGAGTTTGTATTCTGTTAATCCTAAAGTTTTTTTGATAATTTAATCTTAATCTCACAGAAATATTGAGGAATGTGTTTGTATTCTGTAAATCCTCATTTTTATCATTTAATTAAGAAATATAGACTGAACAACAGTCGTTATATGGATGAATAAACCCCGCGGAGCAGGGCTAGGCATGAACGTGCTCTGTACCCAAAATGGCCGAAGGGAGTGAGGGGTCCGAGAGCTGTCTAGCCCTAAAGGGTTTATTCGTCGATATAATACCTGATCTGATAGTACGATCAGAACATGAAAACTCACCAAATTATTAAGTTGATTTTAAACAATTACATCAAATAACACCATAAATATTTGAATTCAAAATATGTATAAAGTGTCAGACTAGTCGACTAAACATAAAATAAAAAAAATAAAAAAAACATATCACGATTAAAATCATAATTTCAAAAAGTGGTCCGAGTTGTCTTGGATCTTTAGCTTCAATATTTTCTTCTTAATTCTCTCTAATTAAGTTCATTTTAAACAATAAAATTACATCAAATTAACACAATATTTGAATTCAAAATATATAATATGTCATACTAAACATAAAATAAAAAAAATGAAAACCATATCATGATAAATATCATAATCTCAAAAAGTGGTCCGAGTTGTCTTGGGTCTTTAGCTTCAATATTTTCTTTTTAACTATCATTAAATAATAAGTTGATTTAAAACAATTTCAATTCATCAAATTAACACAATAAATGAATGCAAAGTACATAATAAATGTCATCTAAACATAAAACAAAAATTAAAACTCCATATTATGATGTTAATATCATCATTTCAAAAAGTGGTCCGAGTTGTCTTGGGTCCGAGTTGTCTTGGGTCTGAGATGTCTTGGGTCCGAGTTGTCCTGGGTCCGAGTTATCCAGTTACCGTCAAAAATACCATTTCATATCTGCTTTAAGATTCATTCTTTAAGTCATTCTTTTTCATGTCTACATTATTTTCTAAAAATCCCATAAGTGCACATATTATTTCAGGAAAACTAAAGATTGTTACAATAATGTTTTATTTTTCTATAAGAATGGTTACCATTCTTATTATTTGGGAGAATTTGAACATTTTTCACCCATTTTTGCACTTTGAATCCATAATTACTTCACCAATTTATAACATATCATGAATCTTTTGGGAGATATTGTATTTGATATTGTAAGGAATAGATTGGTAGGTCAATTGTACATGTTCCTTGTAATTTTGTCACCCCCATAGATCTGATTCTGCCTTAAATACCCCAAAAAGTGGGCTTAGTCATTACTGGGCCTTCAATGGCCTCACTTTTTAATTTCAGGCCAAGCGTGAACTCCCGTGCAGTCACGGACATCTAATACGTTCTTCGAACTGCCCTGGAACTATATCTATTTGAAATCCCAGAATTTCGCCAGAAACATTCTCTCTGACTGTGCGTGCAGTGATATATGAGACACTGCATGGGAGTTCGGCGCAAGCGGGGAAGTTTTTTTCTCTGACCTGAAATTTGGGCCCTCCCTTGTTGGTTCCCAGTTCCCAGATCCGCCCCTGGTTTTACAAGCGAATTGTGGTTTATTCACGAATCATCAGAGCTCTTACGAATCCAAGGAGGATTGGCTCCCAGAGTGCAACATCGATATTCTGCCCCATATATGGGTATGTCGTGCTACAAAATTTGAATTCCAACGACCGCCATTTTGTTCACTTCAACATTTGAATCGTGAATTTTGGTCTTATTTCCCAACGAAAAATTCCAAAACTCACAAGAAATGATCGAGATATTGGTTCGAATATTTTGAACTGTTTATTTTGAATTTATAATCGGTTATAATTTCAGAAAATAACGACATTTCGGCGTTTTCATTGTTGGAAAATATCGACTTCGATTCTGGGAGCCAATCCTCCTTGTACGAATCATTAAAGTCCCCGCCACAACTGAATGAACCAATGACATCACTTGATTCAAACAAAAGCAATAAGCCAATCAAAACGTCTCTTCTATCAGACTATTGGCATTCTGTTGAAATGAAGCAACAATAAAACCTGTTTTCTCAATATTATAGCGATTGTAGGGAACTATTTGTCTGTTTTGGGTGCAGGAACAAAAGTAAGTACATTTCGTTTGACTTTAGAAACTCAACGTATTTATTTTCATGCCAACGGGTTTACACATTCTATTTTTAGTCAAATATTCTGAAATCAATTTTTGGAAAAAAGTTAAAAATGCCTCAATCGAATCATTTGGTCTCCCTCACAGATGTTGGCCAGATTGTTTTGTAAGCTTAGTAGGATCATAGGCTCAAAACTATTCTAAACATATGTACATGCGATACTAAATCACCGTGGCGTATCGACACCAAAACCTCTTTTTACAACTCAATATCCATCCTCTCTTCACAGTCAGAGATGTTCTGGCAAAAAGGAGATTCTTGGATTCCAAATATTGATATAATTCCAGTTCGAAGAACGTATTTGATGTCCGTGCTCTCTTTAACGATAGCACCCATATTTTTGGTCACATTCAGGTTAGCGGTGCAAGTTTCCAGGATAATGATTTTAACTTTAATTTTGGCCAAACACTTACCCTTAAGAAAAAAGCCATGGTAACCATGGTATTCCATGGTGCGCCCATGGTAATCCATGGTTTTCCATGGAAATTCATGGTTTTCCATGTTATTTTCCATGGAAATTCATGGACGCCCATGGTAATCTTCCATGGATATTTACCATGATTTTCCGTGGTAATTGTTGGTTTGGTAATTGTTTTTTAATGGATGTGTCATGGAGATGTAAAATCAACAATTTTGGTAGGATTTGTATTTACCAAAATCTCCAAAATGAATGTTTTGATGATATATCCCAGTTAGACTGAGACTTACCATTGAGAAAAAAGGGTGGACATTTCATTTTGAAGGTATAGCAAGAACATTCATCGAATGTTAGACTCAGCTTACAAATGAGAAAATATGTGAAACAGCAGAGCAGAGAGTAGGCCACAAGATTTCAAAAACAATTGTGCAAAGGTCTTTTGTGTAGATCAAGACTAGATAGAGATTGCTTATTTTTTAGGCCAAACACTTCCTTCCTTTGAAAAAGATTAAGTCAAACTAGCCCAAGCTCTGTTTTATTTCAATACTTTCTTTAATTTTCAGTTTTAAAAATCAATATGAAGTAATTATAGAACACTGTGGCTAGTCGATCTATGTGGATGCAGTCAGGCACATGTAATGTTTAGTGAGTACCCGCCTCTGTACTTTTCAATGGAAGAATTTTGCACTTCTGTTTAAATAATCTATATTTACTCATCCGTGTATAGCATACTTCATTGATTTACAAAACCAAAGCTACGCTATAAACACACATTCTCTGATATTTTTACGGAGAATTGATAACTCAAACGAGTTCACTCGACCAGTTTTATCATCTCGCTCATAGCTGTGAGAAGGTATGTATAATTTGCCATAGGTTTACCTTGTAATGGGGAATAAAAAATTCAAGTAATATAATTATTTCACATACACAAATATGTCTGTGTGAAGTAAAATACAAATACAATGCGTTCTATAATATTTTTGGAGTTATGGTATGAAATATCAGCTTTAAAAAAGCAATTTAATTATGATGTATCATGTGGATTAGTAGACGTTCTGATTGGATTCATTGAACAGACTGGCTAGGTTTCAATTGAATCATTTTGAATGTGTGTATTTTTAATGTTTTAATCCACAGTGTCCGAAAACAATAATAATGCTATATTGGTAATTGGAAAAATTCCACTTACCACGATTTCAAAAAATTGTAAATAGATAATACTCTTCTTGAATGATGGTCATTTGTTTCAAGGAATCTGGAGGCTCGTTCAGCTGAGCTGACAAAATCATCAAGATTTACGGATGGTCCATCTGTTGGCTGCTCATTGTCACCTTCAAGGAATGTTAATGGCTCTGAAACTGGTAGCCTTGCCCAAGTCGGTATTTATTTACTTATCTGATCTTGAATTATTACCACCTTGTACAATCCAATGTATCATCGCTGATATTATGCTAAGTTATTCAGCGGTTCCGAGATTCCCATAATACCTAGGCTACCTAAGGGTATCGCAAAACCATATTGATTGACAATATGGACATGGACACAACGTGTGACTTCAGGCTGATTGACCAATCAAAACGTTATCAGGTTGACCTGCATAAAAAAGCTAACTACCCGTCTAGGACTTGAAATTCAATGATCTGATCGACTGTTTCTTGAGAGTTACAATATATTATGTTATTAAATGTACATTGGAATGTAAGCAGTCATTAATACTCGTCTAAATGAAACCATGCAATTCAATGTTGATTCAAAATCAAAACTGAATTCGCGATGGAAATGCACGAAGACCTAGTCCGGCAATGTAGGGCCGTCATTGATTTGTCAAATTTTACCGACAAAAACATTGGGTCGGTAAAGCACATGGCTTTCTCTTGGGTACAAGGCGGTCATAATAGAAATCAAGATAAGTAAAATAGACCGACTTTGGCAAGGCTATGAAACTTGATTTATGGGTATTCCAGTGGGTCGATGGGTCTTTTGCTCTGAATTCACTTCATTAGCGTACCTAATTTCAACATTTTCATTGTCATCATTACATGTTATGGACCCGTTTTTCAAATTAACAGTATCAGCGATAAAACCATAGTTTTTGGCTCACACAGTGAGACTATGGGATCGACCAGGCGTCCGTCCGTTGGTCCGTCCGTTGGTCCGTCCGTTGGTCCGTCCGTCTGTCAACATTGGCTGCACAAATTAAAACTGCTATTCGGATTGAGTCATTTCCACATTCATTTTATGCATATCCATAATGTCTATTTGACCTGTCATCGCCATTTCGCAAGTTCGCCCGGTTTCCGAGAAATTGCTGATTTTTAAATTTCGAGAAAAATCGATCTGATGATAGCCTTATAGAAATTCAAGAGAAGTGAAGAAAAGATTGAAAAAATACCATTCCAGTCCATTTCCATATGCATTTCCAGGTCCAAGTCCAGGTCCAGGTTCAAGTCAAGGTCCAGTTCAGGTCCAAGTCCAGATCTGGGTGTAATCAGGTTTAAACCAGGTCAAAGGTCAAGAACTAGGTCAAATCCAGTACTCTGTCATTTTTTTCAATTTTCTCAGTCGTCCTTGAATATTTTTGCTCCGTTTTTTAATCATGTTCCTTGGAAAAAAGCTAATCCCTACAGGCAAGTTGTTTTTGATCACTCTTACCGTTTTTGAGATATGGTATCCGAAAAGTAGGTCACAATAAAAAGTTCTTGGAATTCAATGTATAAGTTAATTATGAAATGTGTAAAATTGTCCAAGGAATCCGAATCTGCAAACCAGATTTTGATCCGACTTCCGGTTCGGAAGTTATGGCATTTTGAAATCTCAAAAATCGCTATTTTGGTATCCCATGTTAAGTCAATGGGGCTTGAGAAAATTATCAATTGTAACAACACAACACTAGATACAGCTTGGATGCAGCCAACTTAATAAGAATCTACAATAGAGCCGTCCTCAAAATCTACTTTCCCTCAAAATTTGAACACTAAAAGGCCTAGGTCAAAATCTAGGTCAAATTCATAGTTTTTCTTTTGACTACAACATTAAATCATATCTGAACCAACAAAAAAGGACTCACCTTTAATTGATCTCATATTTACCAATACTTTTGTTTGTAAATCAGGATATTCATTCCTCTGTAGGTTCTACACTGTGTGAGCACGGGACCGTGGGTCCTTTATTTCATTTGTAATGGCATTTTCCAGTTGATGGGTTTATATATAGTATTTTCAATTTTTCATGAGGGTGCCTTTACACTACTTGTAATGGGGTGGCTAATTACTTTACTGAATGAGGAACGTTTATCCAAACAATGGATACAAAGAAAATCTGGCCAGTTGTCCATCAGTAAATAAATCATCATGATAAAAGTATAAATTATTAAAGCATCCATTTGTTACCGTTCTGAATCCAAATGATACATAGGTGCATCCATTTTATACATATATGTTGACGTTTACGAAATGTTTTTCAAATATCTTCCCTATAACAGGAATATGGTAGCTGAAACTTTCACACATTGTCATACTATGAATATTGAATATGTGTGCAAGATTTCAAGTCACAATGTTAAGTAGAAACTCTGAGATCACTTACCTCAATTTGCTGTCATTTTTTTGCAATGATCCCATTCCCTATAATGTACGCGAGTACCCACGAAACATTACATATAAATGACTGCATCCACATAGATCGACTAGCCACAGTGTAAGAAATAAATAACTCATTTTCTTAAATTACATTTCGTACATTTGAGAATACAATCAAAAACCATGGTTTCTTTCTTTGAAGTTGAGAAAACTGCAATCAAAAGCCATGGAAGACGGTTGATTGCAATCGAAAGCCATGCTTTTCCATGGTTATTTCTTTGATGTTTTGGAAAGTGCAATCAAAAGCCATGGTTTTCCATGATTATTCTTTTGATCTTTTGAAAGTCCATGGTTTTCCATGGGCTATTTGTTTGGTCTTTTGGAAGCAGAAAAATGAATAATACATTATGTTTCTAAATGAACTTCTCCAAATTAAGTCCCATTCAACTTTTATAAGCATATTATCTGAAAAAATCCACAGAAAAGTATATACTTTTACAGAATTTTGACTTGAAATTGAGATGGGGGATTAAACACAAGCATATGACTGCAAACTGAAATGTTATACCTAAGTGATAAAAATTCAATTTGTCTATGTAAGAATATTATATTTAAAAAGAAGTTGCATGAAGGAAGGGGAGGGGGTTAACAACACCATTTGGCTTAAAACATGAAACATAGTATAAGTAATTAAAATTGATTTGTCTTTGAATAGGAATAAATAATCATTTGCATAATTTTTAAATATTTGGTTGCCATTATTCTATGTTAATTAGGTGTCTTAACTCTCAAATTAATGTCAAAAGATTAATCTCTTTACAACAGATTATAAGAGTTCATTTGCATAATTCTTAAATATTCTGATCTTTATTGTTATTATATATGATAATCTTACTCTTTCTAATGCTCCCTCTTCAGTAATTATTATTGTCTGTGA